AAATAGGAATAGCCTTAACAGTGTTATGGAAAAAATGGATATTGGTGTAATAGTTGATTAGTCTCTAAAGCCATCCAAGCAATGTGCTGTTGCTAGTGGTAGGGCAAATAGGATTTTAGGTTGTAACTACAGAAATACTGAATACAAGTCTATTGGGGTTATAATTTTCATTGTATAGGTCCCTGGTTAGGCCACATTTGGAATATTGTGCTCCTTACCTTAGAATAGACATTGAATTATTGGAAAGGGTTCAGAGGAGGGCTATTAGGATAATACCTGGAATAGAAATGTTATCATATAAGGACAGGTTACTATCCCTGAACTTGTTTTCTCTTGAAAAAAAAGAACAGTTAGAGGGATCTGATTGAGGTGTTTAAGATTATCAAGGGAAGTTATAATATTGATGTATCATCTTTTTTTCTTACTTAATGGTAAGAATGATAAAACACAAATACAGCTTTTGGCAAGCAAGAATTCATCTTCAGCTTTATTTGGTGGTTGGCCTCTGGAATGTGTTGGATGCAGTTAACTTAAGGGAGTTTAAAGGAAAGCTTGATAAATATTTGAATGGTAAGGGCTGGCTTTATTGTTCTTTAATGTTGTGTTACTTTATTTAGAACCTCACATAAAACAATGGTTAAAATAAAAATTAGTTGGAAGAGCTGAATATGTTCAGAAAACAATACAAAAACTCAAAATTAAGAAATATTATTTTAACAAAGTTACTAAAGTTGAAAGTAAAACACTATTAAAAACAAAATTCTATTGTATTTGCAAGCCCATAAGATCAATTATAGTATAATAGTAGTATGGTGGAAAACACAGGAAATGTAACTAAACAGTGGGAGATCAAGCATTAAGCAGCTCAAGTTCAGTTTGCAGACTTTTTCAGTCCATGCTTAAAACTTATAAACCAAAATACTATTTAGATAATACAAAAGATCTCTTAAAACTCTTTCAAAATGAAAAAAAAACAAACAAATAAAATATTAACGAAAATATGATATGATGAAAATCTATATGAATTACACTATGGTGGTACCATAGTGAGCATTATACCATCCTTCTTATATTTACTCTTAATTGCAGAAATGGCACTTTTAATTTGAGAATCTCTAGGGAAATCATCTTGTAATGCATTGTGCATCTGCTTCACACAATACTGAAGATAACGATACTATTGTGCCTATTGTTTTATGTTTCACTGTCAATGTAATCAAATGGTAAATCTCCAATTTAGCTGGTACGTCAAATGGATTGGGATATCTTTGAACAAGTTCTTCCCTCATCCAATCAGGGTAATTGCTACACTTAAACCATCACATTCACAACCACATCTAGAATACTTCAAACATGTTTCATTGCTACATCATTTTACTTCACATTTACAAGTTAACTTCTTCATGCGGGTCATGGGTTTGGTTCAGTGATTTAGACTTCAAAATAGTGTCAAACATCTTGTTTTTGTCTAACCAAAACAACCCATACCTTTCTGAAATGACTCATTTTTTGGATCCACATTAAGAGGTGGGCTGGCTCATGTGGCAGGTGTTAAATACATATATATTTACAATAATAACATTTTACAATCTCACACTGTTGAGTGCAGTACTTTATAAATATGTTGTTAGAATTGATAGGTAATAGAAAAAACTGACCCCATAAAGAGAAAGAGAAGCTAACACCATGTCCTTATGGGTTAACCTTATCACCACATGTATCCTTCACTGTGTATCACACAAGGTTTTAGTGTCTTGCATTCAAAATTATATTAAACTACTTTTTATTTATGTTATATCTATTAGTATAGCATAAAATCTTAGCTAATAATCCATATTTTAATGGCATACAAGTTTTATGCTTTTTAATTCTAAAAGGCAATATTTAAAAAAATCCTGAATTTCCCCTAGTGTGACACATTTTCTCTAGCCATCTTCTTTTCTCTATTTTATCCATCACCCCCTCCACAAAGTACGAAATTAAACATAAATTACTCACTATAAAATCATCATTGCTCAGACAGACCATAATTATAGCCTTCAATTTTGTTTGGTTACAAAGCTATCAAATAGAAATTCAGACCCCTCCTGCCACACCCACCTGTTATATCCTTTCTTTCAGGATTTGTTAATAGTTCTCTCTTACATTTAATTATATATTACCTATAACCAATAGAAAGCAAAGGTTTTTATTTATCAAATAAATTATTGTATAACATTGTGTTCTGAACAGATAATCATCAAATTCAATGACAAGGAACCCACTTGGAGACTAATAATGGCTGGAAACGGCTTGAATGGGTAATGAAGAAAAACTTTAATATAAGATTTCTTCATTACCCATTCAAGGAGTCTACTTGTTGTATGTTATTAGTCTATGATCTTTGGTGCATTATTTAACTAAATAAAAATTATTTAGTGTGTTACTATCATTCGTATAAAAAAAGTAGGGTTAAGTGTCATCAACAACTGGCAGTAAGAAAAAAAGAATATTATATAAGTACTTTATTTCTTGTTTTTCATGTATATTTTTTATTATATAATTAATTAAAATATAAAAATAGGGATCTTTTTAGGTTAGGTAAAATAAATAATAATAATCATTATTATTAAAAAAAATCACTTTTCACACAGACTATTCAAAACAAATTCTCAATATATTCATAGACAAATCTTTATTTTAGTTTATTAAAAATGTAAAATATTATTCTGAAGAATAATTATGGCTATCAGTAACATACTGTGGCAAGTTCCTTTTGAGTGAAACCCTTGTTCTGTCGTCCTTGCTGAATCAGTTTCCCCACATCCAAGCCAACAGTTTCATGGTGAAGCTCCTCTGTTTCACGATCTAGCTTTGCAGTGTTTTTATCTATCTGGTGTTGTTTGTTTGTAGCAGCATGAACTAAAAAGGGAAAAATAAATGTAAATAAAAGTTACAGAAAAAAAATGTATGTCACCAAAATCTGATAGCTCCATGCGATTTCTTCAAACACAATATTATGAGAACAAAGAGTTTGTAAAGTGATATCTCCAGCTTAACTAAACAACTGCTCGTATGATAAATGGTTACAGTATGCATGTATAAACGAGATGAAATCAAATTCAAAATTTTAGATTTATAATTAAGAGACAAATGTAAATTTAGCTTTAAAATTAGATTACAAACTGAGCCAGCCACTAATGATTAAACAGTTATTATGTATTACCTAGCATTAAACCAATCAATACAAAAAATATGAGATTAAAATAAAGGTTACAAGCACATGAAGAATAATGTATTCAGATAGAAGCTTGTATCTTAAACACTTCCTTAAGAATTATTTCACCCTATAACCAACCAACATTAAAAAAAGAAAACCTGAAACATTTACTCAAGCAGAATAATTTATATCTATAAACAAACCTCTTTTATAGGCTTTAACAACAACAGAAAAAAAAATAATAAAACTTTTAAAATAGTTTTGAAAAGGTATTCTTTTATAAGTTGTAATGAAACTAACATTTTTCCAAATAGTAATTCACAGTCATATAATAATCATAATACATTAATAACTAAAGTACATTTTTATATAATATTTCAGTCAATTTTTTAAAAACTATTTGCTAGATAGACCCAGGATGGAAAGACAAAAACTGTAACAATATTGATTTCATGACATTTTTAATCCTATAGATAATGAACATGATGTGAAACCTGATACAGAGTAAGCTACTATGTTCAACTGTACCTTACCAAGTAACCTTCCGATTGTATATTGCTGAAACCAGTTATCTTGCCACACAGCTGGACACACTTCCAATGTTAATTTTTATCATCTGGTTATAAGCAGGAGCTGCTTTTAAATAACTCTTAGGGACTTATCTGATTACCTTATCAGTGGCTATGACACTGAAAAATATACACACAAGATACTGAAAGTTATCTGGTTCCCTTTGTGTCAACGAAGATGTTGAGGTAAAACTCTGCTCTTCATTCTTACCTTTTCCAATCTGGACAACTCTATCAACCTTTCAAACTGAAAATTATGTATTATAATAAAACCATGCAATTAAGGGGGTATTAATTACAAATGTATTTGTATTCTAAAAAAACTTCAAAATCCACAGCATTTTATTTTGCATGTCACACCACTTTTTTGCATTAAAGGAACATAAAATCAATAAATTTAAAGACTAATTGTTTAACAATTTACTGACAGAAAAATCTAACATTTAAAGTCACCTGAAGAAAATTTACCATTATAATGAGAGTTACAAAATATAACCCTGTATATACTTTTAAATAAATTGGAGAAAAAAGAAAACTGAAATATATACAAGTCTAATATACAATTAATTAGTTTAATAAACAACAGCAGACACTGAATGAAACGTAAAATAAGAGAAAATAGAAACTAAATTTGTTGGCTATAAATTGTGTGTATATTTTTATATGAAACATCAGTATTTCACATGCTATAGTAAGTTATACAAAAAAATTGCCTATATTAACATATTATATGTCCTGTTTATGTTATTGAAAGGAACAACAGAACTACAAAATTTTCTTTCCTCTGCACTTCAGATCTCTAAGGGAAAAATATTGGTTAGCAAGCTAATTTGAAAAATAAAATCTCTATGGAACACCATATTAATTCATTTAATTTTGAAATTAAGTATCTAATTACTATGCTATGCTTATACAATTAACTTTACTGATCATTATTCTTTAAAAGTCAGAAGCACCAAAGCTGATCTACATTACATCATTTTAAAGAAATGACATTTACCTGAGAATGAAGTAAAGCATGTTTAATTTTACAAATCTTTTAACCTTTCCATTACGGGCTGGGTGGAATCTGCCCAGTTAGTGATTAAGAAAGTATCCATGAGAGTAATTATACTATGATTTTTGATAATGTATGCACATCTTTACAAAATTTTGCAGGTTATTGATAAACATTACAATGTTTTTGGACACAAAATATCATGTTCTTAAATTAAGTATTAAGATTCTTTAATTAAAGATTTTCTCATAAACCTGTTTCTTTCAGAATGTTGACTATCCAACATGCAAAGCATTTTTGATTTTAAGATTAAAAACACTTTAATGCAATAGAACGTCTTCAAATTTCACATGCAAAATCTTTATAATCTTCAGATAATTATAAAAATTTTTGTAGAAAAACTATATTTTATTTGTAAATTTCACTACTGTATTCCTGTATGGGTTGGTTCGATTTGTCTGACTTCATAACCTCAATAAAAAATTAGGAAAAAATATAAATCATGCTTTACAAATTCTAACACAACACAAATTTTTAGTCTAAATAGCTTAAATCTCATAACATCATACATTTATAAATATTTATTATTATTATTATTATATTGACCTTCTGCCTCGCTAACAATATAGATGTTACAATGATGCGGTGCCCGTGCACTCGTGTTACTGTATCCAATAACCTTTAGTCTTTACAAAGTGACCTGTCTTGGCTGTGTTTTGTGGAAAAGTATTTCGTAAAATACATTCACATTTCAATTATAATACAATATTACTATTTACAAATAAGTTCTTAAACTTATTTTTCTTAAAACATAGAACAGTAAATAAAGAAGTAAAGGAAACAATTATCTCTTTGAGTTATGACCTTTGTACTCATTTGCTGCTTGTCGTAGGTGGCTAAGCCTTATGAAATTTCTCACGTGGAGGATGTGAAAAGAAATTTTTTTTAGGTTTCATATATACATTTTAAATAACCAAAAAATCATAAATTACTGTATCAATATCATAGAATTCCACTATAATTTATCAAGTGTAGTAACTAATCTCTATTTGGGTTTAAAAAAATATAAAATTTTGAGCTCACTAAAGATTTACCTCATCATTTCAAATTTTGTGTGAAAAGAATGAAATTAGCACAATAACACGTCAAAATGGATGAGAAAACTACTAGAGGACATTCTGAGTTTTTGTTGGTTATTCATGTCATATGTATAAAAGTAAGTGTACATAACGGACCATTTTCAAAAATTAAAAGAGATGGGGGGCACTGTGTTTGATTCAGTACAGGAGTGATATCTTAGAAAATAGAAAAGATGAGGTTCTTATTATATATTCTAGCTTGTCAATATCGGTTATTTGAATTCCTAATTCCTCATAATTAGGAATTTCTCACACCAAAGCCTCCAAAAAACTTTAACTTAGAAGACGTATATTATGTAAACGAGTCCACAGATATAACAACAGATTCAAATGAAGAACTTAAACTAGCTGTATTCATTAAACCACAATTGAATCAAGCTGAACTGAATAATCTTGAAATCTTTAAAAAAAAGTCAAGCAGACCTTTTGAGGTTTAGATTGCAAGAATGAAATTTGCTTGCCAAGAACACTCAAATCACTGTCTTCACAAATTGTGAGAAAAACCTGTCTTAATTTTTCTTCATTAGTGAAAACTTACATTATTGCAATGATATAAATGGTCTGATAAAGGGAGGTGACAAAAATTGTCTCAGTAATTATAGACCCATCAGTCTTACATCAGTTTTGGGAAAAGTTTTGGAGAGGCTTTTAAAAGATGCTTTGCAAAGTCATTTAACAAAGTTTAAAATTTTATTGGATATTCAACATGGTTTCACAAAGGGAAAATCTTGCCTTACAAATCTTTTGACATTCTTTGAAAAGGTTACTGCTTATGTAGATGAGGGTAGGGATATAAATTTGGAGTATCTGAATTTTCAGAAAGTATTTGACAAGGTGCCACATAAAAAACTTGTAAAAAATTATCTCTGTAGGTGTGGGGGATATGTTAGCAAATTGGATAGAAAAGTGGCTAGATAGTAAAAGGCAGAGGATTGTTACAAATGGAGTTCAGTCAAACTGGATTAATATCACAAGTGGGGTACCTCAGAGCTCAGTCTTAGGACCTTTACTCTTGTTGATTTACATCAATCACATAAATGAAGGGATGGTCAATAAATTACTTAAATTCGCAGATGATATTAAGGTCTTGGGTGTTGTTAGCTGTGGTAGGGCAAATATGATTTTAGGTTGTATGTATTGAAATATTGAATACAAGTCTAAAGAGGTTATACTTTCATTGTACAGGTCACTGGTTAGGCCACATTTGGAATATTGTGTTCAGTCTTGGGCTCCTCACCTTAGGAAGGACATTGAATTGTTAGAAAGGGTTCAGAGAAGGGTTACTAGAATGGTGCCTGGGATGGAGAGGTTGTCATATGACAAGAGGCTGAAATCTCTCAAATTGTTTTCTCTTGAAAAAAGAAGAGGTAGGGGGGATATGATTGAAGTGTTTAAGATTGTAAAGGGAATTGATAGTGTTGATGTATCATCATTTTTTATATTTAACAATGAGAATAGTAGGACTAGGGGACACAAATATAAATTTTGGCAAGGTAGGAGTCATCTTCTGCTAAGACAGTTTTATTTCTCTAACAGGGTGGTTGGCCTTTGGAATGGGTTGCCTTCAGATGTTGTAGAGGCAGTAAATATAATGAGTTTAAGAAAAAGCTTGATAAGTATATGAATGAAAAGGGCTGGGTTTAAAATTTTTTTATTTAATTTTTTTTTATCATTTTAATTTAGTTTTGAGCTGAGATGGACCAATAGGTCCCATGTTGTACCAAAATATTATGTTATGTTAACATGTTGAAGTAGCATAGAAACAGATTTTAGTTGTTATCTTTCCTGAGGTGTGCACTTTGACATAATTAACACATTCCAAAACGATTTGGACAGAAAATTTTACTTCGATTGGAGCACTTGTATGACACTAGCTACGTAAAAAAGTAACTCTTTTTAAGTTTTACTGAGTAAGTATTGGAGATATTATTGAAATTAAGTTGTACATTTATAACAAATGATATCAAACTAAAATATCCTCAATACTTAGTTGTTCAACTGTAAATGCTTCATGAGTGTGTGACATTAGTTAATAAATTTCACAGGAATAAGTAACTAGATACTTTTTTAAATAAGATATTGCATTCAGAACAAAATAAGAAAACCGACTACTTTTCCCAGTGCAGGAATCTATGTTTTATATGAAAAATAAGGTGATTTAGTTTCAGTTTATTGTATTGTTGTACTATTTTTTTTCAACTTAGACAATCCTATTTATTAGGCTAGAGGAAGTTTTGAAACTACATAATGATTACACCTCATTGACTAACTTTCTTGAAAGTTTACAAAATTATATGAAATGTTTAAAAGCATGAATTAGCTGAGAATAAGTTGTTGAGATTGTTGATTGGTTATTGAGTCAGTTCCATGCTGTAAATTTTGGAGTTTATATTTTCATTGAAGTAATAGGCACTAACTTACTTTATAGTATTATCAGGTTCACTGATAACCTTACAGGTAAGATTAGTAAGCACATTATTCTAATATAATAACAATTTATAAGCATAATTAAGTGATTTAATTTGGGGGAACATGCATGTTTCAACAGAACATTGGTCTATCTTCTTCTGATCATACATATAGTAAACCTAACAAGCCTTCTCTCACAGAGCACATGCACTGCCCACATCAATCATGATTATCCCGTGTTACTACATTTCTACACCAATGATTTCATTATAGAATCTACCCAATGCACTAAGCTACATAGTTTTACAACGAAATCTTTCATTGCATCAGTGGTAACATGGAGAATGATTGATAGTACATCAACTTGATCAAGTTAACCTCATACAATAACCAGTTTCTCATTGTTAAACCTCTGTACACTGAGTGGTTACAAGTAAATAGACACCTAATTTTCGTCATTTAACTGATTATGCTAACTAATTTG